AGTGCTTCAAGTCTCAAGATTTTCATATATTTCTTTTAAGCCACTGGAGCTGGGGTTGGATCCTTAAAGTCAGAATTTCTAGAAAATAACACAACCAAAACCAATGTAGAACCTTTATTGGATTCCATTCAAAGAAAAAAATGTGTGTGTGGAAAGGGGACATTTTAAGCTGTCTGGGAACATTTGAATAAGGCTGCGATATAGGATTATGTTAGGGAATTATTGTTAATTATCTTGGTCATGATAATATAGGAGAGTAGCCATTGCTATGGTTTAGATATTGAGTTAGCGTTCCTTTAATTAAGAAAAGGTTTATTTTGGCTCATCATTTTAGAGGTTTCAGTCCATGATTGGTTGGTCCCCTTGCTTTTGGCCTGTAGCAAGGCAGTACATCATGGTGGCAGGGTGTGGCAAAACTGTTCACCTCATTGTTGGGGTACAAAAAAGGACGAGGAAGGGGCTGGGATCCCATACCCTTCAAGGGCATGCCCCCATGGCCAGAAGACTTTCCATTAGGGCCCCCCTCCTAAAGTTCTACTGTCTCCTACTAGCTCCACAAAGGAAGACCATGCCTTTAACACACTGCCATGTTGGGGACTTATCCAAACCATATCATATATGGTTTGAGCACATCTCCCAAAGTTTCATGTGCTGTGTTGAGGAGGTAGAACCTTAGGAGGTGAGACTTAGTGAAAGGTAATTAAGTTGTTAGAGATTGCACCCAAATGAATGAATTAATGCTGGTGTCTTGGAGTGGATTGGGTCTCAAGAGATAGGGTTATTTCCTAAGAGAATGGATTCTTACCAAAAGAGCAAGTCTTGCCCCTCCCTAGTTTCTTGTTTTCTTGCTCACACAGGCGCCCCTTCTGCATGCAGCCAATTGCCTTTCTACTTCCCTGCCAGACCATGACACAGCCAAGGGGAACCTTGTCAGAATGTCGGCAAAATCTCTTAGGCTTTGAGAACCATGAGTTAAATAAACCTCTTTGCTTTATAAAGTTCTCAGCCCCAGGTATTTTTGTTATAGCAATACAAAATGGACTAAAATGGTTCAGGAAAAAATAAATTTTTGTGGCACTGGATATCAAACCCAAGGCCTTGCATATGCTAAGCAAGCACTGAACTATACCCTGAACCCTTTTTAAAAATTTCATTTTGAGACAGGGTCTAAGTTGTCCAGGCTAAACTTGAACTGCAATCCTCCTGCCTCACTCAGTCTCCTAAGTTGCTGGAATTATAGGTGTGTGCTTTCATGCCCAGCTGGAAAAAATATTTTTACAAATAGAAACAATATAAAGATGTAGTATTTATGAATAAACGTTAATCTCTACTGAACCCAGGTGGAAGATATATACAGATATCTTGTGCCATATTGACATTTTTTCAATAAGAAAGTGTAAATTTTTTGGATTGCAAAACAAACACATGGTAAATTTTCCTTTTATGTTGTGTCTTGGTGGTAGTCAATGAGAGCAGAGGCAGGTAAGCTGGCCTGAAGAGATGAGAGACACTACTGTGATACAGACAGAGAAACGGACTATTGTGGAGAGAGCTGGGTGCAGTGTAATCACAGGGGTTTGGGAGACTGAGGCAGTAGGATTGCAAGTTCAAAGCCAGCCTCAGCAATTAGTGAGACCCTAAGTAACTGATCAAGACCCTATATCAAAATAAAAACAAAAAAAAGGTGGAGATGTTTCGCAGTGGCTCACACACCCCACTTCAATCCCTGGTTCCCCAAAGCAAAAACAAACAAGAAAACCCAGACAGGTCCATGTGCACTCATTCATAGGCCAGAGAGGACCAGAGGACCAGAGTCAGACATCAGCATATGTCCTCCAGGAGATATGACACACCCAAATAACCCCCATGTTTTTATTTACCTTATATGCCTAATTAACTAGAGGAAACTTTGTGCACAAAAGATAAACAGTTGGCTGGTAAGCACATGGAAAGATCACTCACTAGTCATTAGAAAAATGAAATTAAAACCACAAAGAGATACCACCATTCTTACATCCATTGAGATGGCTACTATTCCCCACAAAAGCAAACCAGTGTTGGTGAGTATGTGGAAAAACTGAAACACTTGTGCACTGTTGGAAGGAATGTAAAATGGTACAGCTGTATGGCAGTTCCTGAAAAAAAAATTTAAACATAGAATTGTCATGTGATTTGGTAATTCTACTTCTGAGTATATATGCAGAAGAATTTATACACCCATGTTCACCGCAATATACTGGCAAAGGCTATAAGGTAGAGGCAACCCAAGTGCCCACCAATGGATAAATAGAAGCAAAACATGGTATAGATATGCAATGGGACATTATCCAGCCTTAAAAAAAAGAAGTCTGACATATGCTACAACATGAATGAATATTGAGGATATCATGCTAAGTGAAATAAACCACTCACAAAAGGATAAATACTGAAATATTTGAGTAACGAGAGTTACTTAGAACAGTCAAATCCACAGAGATAGAAAGTAGTTGTTTGCTAAGGGTTAAGGGTGAGGAGAATGCAGAGCTACTTAATGGGTCAGGAGTTTCAGTTTTGAAAGATGCAAAGAGGTCTGTAGATGAATAATGTTGATGGTTACACAACAATGAGACTATACTTAATGCCACTATTTGTACATTGAAAAATAGTTAAGATGCTAAATTTCATGTTATGTATGTTTTACCACAATTTTTAAATAAGATAGCTTTATATCACTATTATAAAAGAAAAACCACTTACCCTAGAGGAAAAATCTCCATAAAATTAAGGACAATTACACTCCCCCAAACAGGGTGGTGTTGACATTACTCTAGATGCTGGTACCTTCTAAGGCTGTGCACAGAGACCTTATTCCACTTCTATTTAAAGGGGTAATCAGCAAGTACAATGAAAATATTAAAAACTCTGTTCCCAACTTTCTCCTTGACAACTTCAGAGGGGTCAAAAGAGAGTTGGTTTTTTTTAAAGAATTGCCTTCTCACCACTTGGTCTAACAGGGTGGTGTCTGTGGGCTTCTATAATAATTTCTCACGTCAGGAAGCATGGGCACCCCACACTTTGAAAGACCCTTGTAAGGACAAGAGAATAGAAACTATATGCATCTTGCATAAGACTAGGCCAGGGCACATCAAGTGAAAGGGGCAGAGGAAGGAGACCCCCATTAAGGAAGAGTTTTAGGGAAGTGGCCTGGGGCTATTTGTGCAAGGAATTCCAGGGTCTCTGATGCCTAATCATCACCTTGGTCCTAAGGACTCCTTGCTTGTGAGGAGGGGTCTAACAGGAGGAGGAGAAGAGAAGTGCTAGCCTCTTTAAGTGCTGGCCCAGATGGGGAACCAGTTGCTTTGGTCTAGGAACTGTACTTCTTCATAGTAAGTAAGTAAAAACCAGTGTCAATAGGGTCTGGTCTAGAGAGAGGATGACAGAGCAGGTAGAAGGGAAGAAATTGGAGGATGTGAAAATTGTAAAGGATGTGACCAAGAAAGTTCCAATGGACATCTGATATTTTAGCCTGCACTGCATCCATACCCTTTCCTGGATAGAGTGCACCTCCGTATTCTCTCAGGACACTCTCTTATCTCCAGGATTCTTAGTACATTTGGTTGGTCCAAGCTGCCTTCAACCCCTTCCCACTGTAGAAGACTAGAGACTCAGCTCTGTCTGGTCAGAAGATGCCATTTTTCCTCCCCACAATGATCTTACAGGTTCTTGATTTAGCTGCACCTGAAGCTAGGTTAATCCTGCCCCTTCATTTATATTTTACACTGAGCAACCTTTAAGGATGTGATGAGATGTGATGTGTGTGTGTGTGTGTATGTGTGTGTTGGAAATAGGCCTCATTTCAGGAGGTGCTTTATAATCATCATGGGTTCCCCATCTTCAGACTCAACCAATCACAGGTCCTCAGTATTCAGAAAACAATTGCCCCTGTATAGCATTTTCCCTTTGTCGTTATTCTCTAACTTACAACTATTTTCATAGCCCTTTCATTGTATTAGGTATTGCCAGAAATCTGGAGGTTTGTAAACAAGAGAATGTGCATAGATTCTATGCGAATATTATGCCATTTGATATAATGTACTTGAGCATCTGTAGATTTCGGTATCCCGGTGCGTGTGTAGGGGTGTCCAGGAACCAATCCTTTGCAGATGCTAGGGAGTACTATACAATCTTCTTATCTAGGGCTTGTGGAGGTTTTTGTCTAGTCCTTAGTGGCCACTGCTGACCACTCTTACTCCCCTGCAGTTCCAAGGCTATTGGGCCTTCGACGCTTATTTACAGACACCTCTCTCTTCAAGATGTCAATTATAAGACTTGCCGTTGACCAGTTAAATGTTAAATCTCAGTCATTTAACTTAAAACCATACTTTCAAAGTTTTAGGTGGTTTTCGATTGTCTCAAACGCTTCCACAGGCCCTTAGAAAACTTCCTTGTGCCAAACCCCCTGGCTATCAAGGTTTGGGGTACAGACAGCCCCACACCGGCTGTCAGGTGCCCCGACTTCCCCGGGCCCTCGTGCAAGCGGGCTGGAGCTGACAGGGACTCACACGCATGCGCGGGGGCGGGGCTGCGCCCCAGGCCTGCGCGTTGCCGCTCGGGCGGTGGCGGACGCGCGCTGGGGGCTACATCCTGGACTAGTGAGATTTAGTGCGCTTTTGACCCTCCTTGGACAGATTCGCCCGGGGCTGCCTTTCCCAGCCCCGGCTGTGTCCGTACAAGGTGCTCCCACTCGGCAGGACCCAACCGGGGCAATGGAGGGGGACAGCCCCCTCAGCCCTCGAAGGTCCCTGAGAAGACGACCGCGCGCGGCCTGACCTGCCGTCCTCTCGTGGAGCCCATGGGCGCGTCCCCGCGGGCGGGCAGCAGACGTGAGAGTGGCGAGCGGCGGGGCCGCGGCTCCGAGAAGGGCCGTGCTCGTGCTCGGCTTCGCGCAGGACGCGCACGCGCGCCCCCGTCGCAACCCCGGCCGCGCCCGCCCCGCCTCTCAGCGCCGGCCCGGGAGCCCGGTCCGCGAGCGGCGGCGGCGGCCGGAGGGACGATGAGCGGCGCGGCGCGGGCGGGCCCGGCCCGGCTCGCCGCGCTAGCACTGCTGACCTGCAGCCTGTGGCCGGCGCGGGCGGACAACGCCAGCCAGGAGTACTACACGGCGCTCATCAACGTGACGGTGCAGGAGCCCGGCCGCGGCGCCCCACTCACGTTCCGCATAGACCGCGGGCGCTACGGGCTCGACTCGCCCAAGGCCGAGGTCCGCGGCCAGGTGCTGGCGCCGCTACCCATCCACGGAGGTGAGGACCGGGCCAGGGGGAGAGGATCCTGAGGTGTGGCGGCGGGCGGTGGTCGCCAAGAGCCGGGGCGCGCGGAGGTGGCGAGGCCGGGGTCCTCGGTAGCCGGCCCCGGGCTCGCCCGCTCCGCGACGCTCGACCGACCGCTACGGTTTCCTCCGTGTGGAACTCGGCCTGCTCATGGTTGGGAATGAGGCTCCAGAAGCCTTTTTGTCCGTCCTCCCTCCCCACCCCCCTTTTTTAAGACTTGGAACGTTCTCTTTTCATTTAGGTAGCTTGTTTACTGGAGGGCATTGAATTGCGAGTTTTGCAGGGACAGCATAGACAAAGGAGGTGGTGCAAGTAGCACAAAACTAATTCATGGAGAATGAGATCTTAAACCCGCAGGTTTGTTCCTGAAATCACAGATTTAACGCTGCATTGGATCTCGAAGGATGAGAGGCCCTTTTTCTAACGTCAAAACGTGCCGTTTTTCTTAAGTGGGAATTGGTGTGTGTGGGGGGGTGTTGAAAGAGGAAAATGAGAATCTTCCCTGTTGCTTTTGGCTCTTCTTCTACCCCAGTAGTTTTACTGTAATTTGACTCCGGAAAATTTCACATTAAGAAGAATCAGACAAATTGGAACTAGTAGCCAAGTCTTCAGGTCAGGGGTGCCAAACAAGAGAGAAATAGGTAGAATTGACAAGAATTGTCTTTGAAGCCATCTGATTTATCTTCATGTTTTTCTGTAAACTCTGACAGTTGTTTAGTTAATGATTTGGTGCAAAACTTGTATTTGCCTAAGTTCCTAGTTGTGTTTTAAAAGGAAACGGTTTCCACATTGGGGAGTAGATGTTTTTGGATTTCAGCGCAGTGTGAACTTTTTGGAAAATGTCTGCTATCTTCTCCATCCCCACTCTCATCCTGAGACTATAACAGGAGGTTTTTGTTTGTTTGTTTTTAACTGCTCATCATGTTTAAATGATCTGAACTAGGAAACCTAAATAAGGTAATGGCGTTTGCTTTTATAGTCTAAAATGTTAGAACATTATGCCCTTCTGAGCTCTGTATTTGTATGGTTACATGCTAAATGGTTTTCTTCTTTGAGGCAGTCTGACTGGGGGAAAAAATCAGTCAGGCTTTCCTGTACAGTCTGTCCCCAACATAGATGGGGCTCTTAAAAATTCATTTTAAACCAGTAATCAGGGGCTTAAGGTGCATTTTTTCATTTCCACTTTGTTAAAAGTAGCGTTTAGGGTCCCTAGCTTGGCCCTAGAAACAACTTTTGTTTTTGGTTCATTCAGTAAATATTTGTGTGCCTGCTCTGTGCCAGTCACTGTGGTTGGGATACATAATGTTGCCAAACTATGGTACTAACAATGCTAGCCTATTTTCTAGTTGGGGGGGGGGGGGAATCCAGAAGGGTCACGTGGAAGAGGAGGAAGAGGAGGAAGAGGAAGAGAGAAGCAAGCTGTTTTCTAGAGTAAGAACTGGCCTTGTAGTGTTTTGAAATCTGTGGTTTGTCTTTGGGGCTTGATTTCTCCATGGACCCCAGATCTATAGTCTTCACTTTAGATTCTTGCCCCCAAAGTGTTCCATGTCATTATACTATTTTTTACTTGTCTGTCACCCCAAACAAAAGCCCTATCTTTAAGAAAGCTTGTTTTAAGTGTTCCAGTAGAAGGCTGTTGGGGATTAATATAGATGATGTGTGGATGAAGGTCAGTCCTGTTACTCTATCATTGGGAAAGTAGCATTGTAAAATTAAAGGTTTTGAGTCAGACTGTGCTGTACATGTATTGTGTGACACTGGCAAAGCAATTCTGCTGCTTAGCCTCAGTTTCTTTGTCTGTAAATTGGAATGATGAAGTATTTAACTCTTAAGGCATTTTAGAAGTTTAGATGCATCTTGAATTCTTTGAAGATACCTGTTAATCTGTGTGATTCAAACTGGTGGAGTTTTAGACACTGAAACAAAATGAACAAATTTGTGAAGTAGTGTGTGAAAATTGAATGTGAGGTCACTTTCTTGCAAGTTTTAATCTTTTCTTTCCTTGATTGTGGGGATGTAGGTGTCATTTTGTATCACAGGAGAAGAAATCCTCTGGGTTTTCTTATGGTGGTGGTAATGGTAGGATCCCACAAGTGGTTTGAGTCTGATTTTGTATCAAGGGTCTTCACACTTATGTTCTTTTAGTCTAGCAAATATGATTGGAATCCCACTGTGTGCCAAATACCATTCAAGGCACTGGTGATGAGAAAAGGGCAACAGCAGTGAATAAACTGATAAAATCTCTTTGAAGCTTATATTATAAGGGGATCTTTATAAAGTTAATCCACCTGTAAATTGTTTCTAAACCTGTGGGTTTATATGAAATCCAAGATGTTCTGCTTGTCCCGTAGGAACTCAAGTGTATTTTAAAAATAAGAATTTGGTAGAAGTCTGTTCAAATTATTCATGGTTAAGAAAATTATTTAAAGTAGGAATAATTTGGGGGAAATTTATAATCTTAATTTAATGAGTTTCAAAATTTTATGTATTTTTTAAAAGTTGTATTCCTTATAACTATGCTCTTAAAGTTTTGAATTGGAGAGAATTTTTTTACATGTTTATTGTGTGTTGACACGAAGCAAAATGATGTTCAAATTATTCTTATACTCACAAGTTGTGAGACAGAATTCCTGGCTCAAAAACAGCTGTGGTCAGTGGATATGAAATTCATGAAAATTCATTTTGGGGGTGAGTGACTGGTAGGAATGAATGTAAAGACAAAGGAATTTTTACAGTTTTTCTAGAGCTTACTACGGTGGCTCATTTTACATCTGTGGCTTGATTTGTGACATCTTTCTTCTTGTTTTGCAGTGCTACTCTTAGGCTTGTATGCATTACAAAATTAGACCTGTATGAATTACTGAATAAGATTATTATTATTCCTCTAACCTTTAGAAAAAATTGGCATTTTTTTCCTTAGGTGTTTTTAAAAAGTACTTTTTAAATAAAATACTTCATAAACAAGTATGAAAATATATTTTTGTCTTTAAATAGAATGCATTGGTGAATGGAAATTCATTTGTTTAGCCCTAATGCATTTCACATTGTAACTGATAATTCATTTTTAGAAATGGAGTTTTAAAGGAATATGTCTTAGGTTTATGCACAGATCATAGTTGCATTTTTACTATTTACTAAACAAAATGCTTATAACTAAGATCAAAATGTTTAATACCTTTGCAGAGCAGACCAGCGAGTATGTACTGTGAAGTAGACATTGTAAATGTGCTTTATGTGTGTGCACACTAACTTTTTGTTTGAATCCAGAGTGGGGGTTGGGAGAGGAGAAAGCCCTGTGTCAGTGATGTAATTATGTATGCAGATGTGCTGGTGGGAAGAGTTTGGTATCAGCCAGTTTTGTTTTGTGTAGAAATTTTCTGGATTGAGCGTTAAAGCCTTAGAGAACAATTTTACCAAATAATAAACCTTTTTTGATGCCTTGTTGACTGTAGGGATGCAATAAGATTTTTAAAAAATGAATCTCGGGTTTATATGTTTAAAAAAAGGTGATCCTTTAATGAACCTGAAATTTGTTTTAGAAATTCTCATAAACAGTGAAGGAGATTGATATGAAAATGGGAGTTTGGATGAAAGGAGTCATAATATTGGAATTCATAATGTCAGAGGCAGGGGCATAGAGATTTCAAAATATTTGGAGAGAAAGTATATATGATCTTGGGAGCAGCGTCTCTGAACATTCGTAAAGAGAATTCAAAAGGGGCTAGAAGTTCTAATAGCCAAATGTCAACATAATTAGTCAAGAAGAAAAAGGAAAGATGTGTGTGAGTGTGTGCTTTGAACTTATAGCCTAGAAAATATCTTCATATACCATGTTTTTTCTTCATTTGTAAATGATTTCCTTTCATGTATAAAAATCAGAATATTTTATTTTACTTTATTTTGATACTGGGGATTGAACCCAGGGTGCTTAACCACTGAGCCACATCCTGAGCCCTTGTTTTTAAATATTTTTTTAGTTGTAGATGTACCCAATATCTTCACTTATTTATGTTTTATGTGGTGCTGAGGATTGAACCCAGTGCCTTACACATGCAAGGTAGGAGCTACAGCCACAAACCACACCCCCACCCCAGCCCTTTCTTGTATTTTGTTTAGAGACAGAGTCTTGCTGAGTTGCTAAGTGTCTCGCTAATATGCTGAGGCTAGCTTTGAACTCAAGATCCTCCTGTCTCAGCCTCCCGAGTTGCTAGAATTACAGGCATGTGCCATCATGCCCAGCTTAGAATTTTTTTTTTAGCTTTTTTTTTCAGCTTAGAATATTTTTAAAAAAATCATTTGACCTCCCCACCAAGTCTCTAACCTGCTACCACACTATTTCTCTGTTTCTGTTACATCAAGGTCTCTCATAAGTGTTTTCTGTACTTTCTGCCTCCAACTTTTAACTTTTTCCACTTGCTATTTTTTACATTTTGAAGGTCTTTTGCTGTGCCAGTGATTTTGATAAAAACATGATATATTGGCTAATAGTCTCAGGATTCCTAAGATCTCAGTGTGTAGAACGATGGGCTGAAGTTACAAAAAAAATAGTTAATAGAAATGCACATATGATCGTTGGGTTTAAAAAACAACCTTCATTGAAAGTTGTTGAGGGGAGATAAGGTTTAGTTGCATGTCACATGACAAAGCCTAGGAGCTCTCCCTCACTTAGGTCAGGCTAATCTTGCACTGCATCTGGATCTAGGGCAGCTCTAGTCCTACTTCATAAAGGCCAAACACATCTTTAGTTTGTGTTTAATTCTGAATATGAGTTTTAAGAAATGAACAAACTACAAAGCATTCTTTTGAATTTCATAAAAAGGAAATCATCCTTTGGAAAGAATAAACTGGGTAGCTTCCCTCTTACCTTGAACACGGTATGACTGTAATGTAAGAAGACAAATCTTTTAAAATCAACCTTCCAGAATATACCGCTAAGGAGAGCGTTATCCTTTTCAAGCCAGTCACAGTGTATA